GAAAAAAAAAAAAAAAAAAAAAAAAGCGAGTCGCTCTTTTTCTTTAACATAATTTAGGTATTGTTTCTTGGTTTTGCAATGAACGATTAGATAATGTCGTACCTGCAAGGACAAAAATTGTCAAACTGATGAAGCAGCACTGAACAACCATGATCGTTGAACACTGAAAGACAAAAACAAGAGACTTTATACTTTCTTGAAAATACTTTAAATTAAATGGTTATGTACGTACATACGTATCTGGATACATTGCATGGATCTGTCGAAACAGAGACAAGGATGATTTCCGTTCTCGGTATGAGTCACTCACGTAGGATCCAAATTGCATTAATGCAAAATAGAAATAATAACTATTATTAATGATTATGTAATATATTTGATGCGTCGCCTAAATTTAAACAGTCATTCAACCTATCCCAGTGAATCGTGACAAATGTTTTCTTGTTTTTTCTTTTACTCGGGAAATGTCTAAGTTGACGAGGGAACTATCCAAATAGTTTCGTCGACCAGCACCCGTAACCCGGAGTCAAAATGCAAAATAATAATAATAATAATAATAATAATAATAATAATAATAATAATAATAAATTTAAAAGAATAAAAATAAAAATCAATCAATCAATCAATCAATCAATTAATCAATCAATCAATTAATCAATCAATCAATCAATAATAAAAGCGAAGTAGAAAAGTCAATATTGTTTTCAAGGAACTACGACCATGATCTAGGTTACCACTGAATGGACATCTAACAGGAGCGAAGTGATGGCAACCACCACATCTTCCGTTTTACTCTCCTTTTCACATGACGCATTTATCCATCAAAACTACAGCAAAGGGAAGTCTATCACACAAAACTAACGAGACACTTTTGTTAGATCAAATTAAAATCTCATGACACTCTTGTCAAACCAAATTAAACTTCCTCTGAAATTTGTATTAAGCAAACAGATTACATTTCTATTTCTAATATAAAAGCACTACAGGCTTTTACATCAAAATGCAATACACTAGGATAGCACCAAGTACACTTCTTATAGTGAAAATGAAGTGACTGGTTTTATGGCAACTACATAACATATCTGATAGGGATGGAAGGCACACATCTACGGTACAGTTCCACTAGCGACAATGTTGCAACGATTGTTGTTCTCTTCCTGTTAAAATTTTAACAATAAAATCAGGCGGCTTCGGGGTGTGAGCTCACTCTGGAACTCGGTTCGGCATCGCTGTCTACTAGAGTTAGTTAAGAGGCTTTGGCTTGGCGGTTTCTAAAGGCAGCTATCCCTTACCAAGCTAGACTGCAAAGGTCGGAAGCCGACAGCTTTCAAGGCCCGCTTGAGAACTTCTCCAAACTTCAATATGTGTCTGTGTTATTAGGACTTTACTGCTTTGCAGTGATTAAGCCATCAAGGACCAGAATGTTTCATTTATAAACCATTCACCGGCACAAGAACTCAAAATGTAAAAGTTCCCTAGTTTAAGCACTCCTCTCCCTCTCTCTGTACATTGTGTTGTGAATGTGACATGTTTCCTTGGTAACTTTGTTGAAGTTCCTGTAGCTTTTCATTGCATTATTACAGTACATGCAATATATAACCTCCCACAAAGGTTCCGAACTTCCCATTCACTTTGTTTTCTTTCTGACCACACAGAGACCAATCAATGGTCAACACAGAGGACTAAATTTAGCATTCTTGTTGAATAAAATTACAAGTTCCTCTCTTCCTGGAGCATGAGAAAAGCTATAGGTAAACGTAATATTCCTCTTTTCAACCAGTTTTAAGACATGCATGTTCATAACTGGGTAAACAATGTCATAATTTCTGTCTAATACATTTTATGGCGCTTCATTGAATTTTGGTTATTTTGCGAATTATTGAGAAAATTCTCATACAACCAGGAGGTACAGAGACTAAAAGAAAACTCCCACCTGTAATTAGTGTAACAGCCATTACTTTCTCTCAATAA